GAATCTAATTTTCAGAACCTATGGCCAGGTCTACACTAAAAAGTTAGGTTGACCCAGCTGTTTGGACTGTTCAAAGTGTAGACATAACCCAATTCCCATTGACTTTCAAAGAGACATAGGCTTCAAAGTGCCTAAGTCGCTTTTGAAAATTAGAGTCAGGCTCCTAAGATTATTGTGCTGTTGAAATTTTACCCCGAGGGCATTTTGACTCAAGATCATGGTAGTAGAACTAGTTTATAAGCTGTGGGGGCAGCCTTAACTTCTGTGCTCTGACTGGGCTATTGGAGATAATGGTACAGACAGCTCTAACGCCCTGCACCAGCCGGGCTCTCAGGATGGCTCCAATATAGAAGAAAAAACAGTGCTTGCCTGGGGAGTTAGATAGGCACCATTGGTGCTAGAAATATTACCCAGTCAGAAGACCTGGTTGTAACACAATTAAATTTTGTAGCATGGATGGTACCTACTCATACCCCCATAACCAGGCCAAAGCCTTGGACTGTTCAAAGCTTTTGCCCAGTTATAAGGAACCCAGGAGGGGTCCCATCCACACTTCAATTTTTTAGTTGTATTGTAGTTGGACCAGGGGAGTGCTGTCAAGCAGACAATCCTGAAGTTAAATTGTGACAATATGGCACAATGGTCGATTCAGTCACTGCCCTTGATCTGTAACATCTGTGTTATTCTTGCAGCGAAACTCTCCTGAGCAGAGAATGAGGAATTGAGCCAAATTGCAGGGCTCCGCTGAGGCCAAACGCCTTTCCCTTGGAACAAGTTCTGCAAAGGGGTAAAAATGAGGTGGGGTTTATTAAACCTCGTCTGCTTTTCTATCTAGTGTTTTCAAAAACAAAACACATTGAACAACCCATTTTAAATAGATGGTGCCAAGGAGAAGTTCAGAACATAAAAAACTTGCATTAAAGATTAAGTAGTAAACCTAATGCTGCAATACTGGTGCAGAAGAGATGTACAAGTATACATTTATAATAATCAAATATTAGGTATTTTTCCTTTCAAGCAGTGGGTCTCAAACTTTTTTTACTGGTGACCCATTTCACACAGCAAGCCTCTGAGTGAGACCCCCCCCTAATAAATTAAACACATTTTTTAATATATTTAACACCATTATAAATGCTGGAGGCAAGTGGGGTTTGGGGTGGAGGTTGACAGCTTGTGACCCCCCATGTAATAACCTCGTGACCCCCGAGGGGTCCCAACCCCCAGTTTGAGAACCCCTGCTTTACAGTATTAGCAGTAATTGGCCTAAGATTAAATATTCATATATGTAAGAAAATTAGTCCTGACCTTAGATCTTCTACAGCAATGGTTCTCGACCTTTCCAGACTACTGTACCCCTTTAAGGAGTCTGATTTGTCTTGCGTATCCCCAAGTTTCACCTCACTTAAAGACTACTTGCTTACAAAATCAGACATAAAAATACAAAAGTGTCACAGCACACTATTACTGACAAATTGCTCACTTTCTCATTTTCACCATATAAATTATAAAATAAATTGATTGGAATATAAATATTTTACTTACATTTCAGTGTGATACTTGAGTCTGTTTTTCACTTGTGAGCCTTGTCTGTGGGGCTGAAGCATGTAACTTAGCTTTGCAGGGGCCCCTGGTGATTGCCCTGCTTCCCACCCCCTAATGCCAGCCCTGCACTTCCAATCCCCCTAAACCCATCCAATGACCCTCCCCCTGGGGGCTGCACACCCCAGGTTGTGAAACACTGATCTAGATTAGTTGAGTACCTCCTGAAAGACTTCTGTGTACCCCCACGGGTATGCATACACCTGGTTGAGAACCACTATTCTACGGAAGTCTTAGAGGCTTTTTTACCAGATTTTTACCATCTTTTGGAAACACCTCTGCTTCAGCTTATAAAAAAAGGAGATGAAAGCCTCAAAAAAAGTAAATGATCCATGGAGTAACGTACATCAGCTGGTTAAGCAACGAGCTATAAAAGTTAGGCCCTGGACACTCTACTACCAGATAAAACTGAATCCCCTGCCATATCTGGGTCATGGGTTTTTTTTTTCTTTTTTACAGTTCAGTATATGATTTTTTTATGTTGTAAAGCTAAGTTTATTTAACATCAAGAGCTAAAACCAGTTGGTTCACATTGCAGACGCTGCTGTGCTATTTTCACTTTTGCTAAACTATGGCCACTTCTGATGGAACATTAACTATAAACCCACATGGCTCTATGTATAAAAATAAATAGAAACCAGCTCACTGTTTCTCAAACACCAAGAGAGATTTATTTTTGACACTTTAGAAAGTCACTTAATTTAAAACCTAAGTTCTACATATTTGCTTTCTACTATAAAATTAAAACCCAAGCAGACCTGCTTGGAATCATGGTACATTTTGATCTTCCATGAAAATTCCTGGGTAAAGCTTATTATGGGAGTGATATGTGCATGAATATGATCTCATCCATCCAATATATCAACAGGTCTCTAAAGTGCACAGATCTAAAATGCAAGCTGTATGGAAGGTGGACTTAATCAGGTGAAATTGACCTGCATACCATATAAGGACATTTCTCCCCTCCTCCTCCCACAACTCTGTGATGTTGCACTCCATATGCTTTATAAAAATATGCTTATGAATGTGAATATGATGTAACTGGAATATGCTTTATGCAAAAGGTGTCTTGTAAGGTATCATTACAAAGCTTATAATCTACTGAGTGTGTTCATCCTATTTATTTGCATGTATTATTTCTATGTCTGAAGTTAGGAGAATAAGACATAAATTTGTATTACTGATGTAAACATATTAAGTGGAAGCTATTAAGGGTGCTTCAGAATCAATGAACTGTAAATGGCTGTTTACTTGCAAACCTTCCTGTGTATCAGAGTAGCAGCTGTGTTAGTCTGTATCCGCAAAAAGAACAGGAGTACTTGTGGCACCTTAAAGACTAACAAATTTACGAAAGCTTATGCTCTAATGGGCTACAGCCCACTTCTTCAGATGCATATCATGTCAAGGCTGCTTCCCCACTCTGAACTTTAGGGTACAAATGTGGGGGCCTGCATGAAAACTTCTAAGCTTAACTACCAGCTTAGATCTGGTCCGCTGCCACCACTCTCGATGCTAATTCCCTTCCCTGGGTAGCCTTGAGAGACTCTTCACCAATTCCCTGGTGAATACAGATCCAAACCCTTTGGATCTTAAAACAAGGAGAAATTAACCATCCCCCCTCCTCCCTTCCACCAACTCCTGGTGGATCAAGATCCAACCCCCTTGGATCTAAAAACAAGGAAAATAAGTCAGGTTCTTAAAAAGAAGGCTTTTAATTAAAACCTTCCTGTGTATGTGTGGGCCAGCCCTGGAAGAATGGAGGCTGGGGTCTTACAGTGACAGGTGACCATGTCACCGGATAATGAAATCCATCTTAAATCTGGTACTTTTCCATTTAGGGTGGAAGCATCTCCTGCCACCCCTCAGGAGGAGTCCCCATAGAGCCAAAAGAAAAGGTTTTTATGGTGCAAGGATGCTGCTTCTCCCTATACCAGAAGTTTGGAACCTGGCCCACAGAAATGTAATATAAAGGGTTTTGTATGGGGTATAAATTCCATCTTTGTCCACAACACTTTTTGTATCAATGGGGATTCCATATGTGAATCCAGAGCAGCAAATATCCCTAATATCTATATATTCTGTTTTCAGCATTTAAGATGACCTCATGCTCTGCCTTAGTGGTACACTGATGTAACAATTAAAAATCACTTGGTACGTTTGGGCAGAAAATGGTATCTGGCAACGTCAAATTTCGTATGCTATTTAAACAAAAGTGTTTTCCCCTTCTATTCTGAATGTTGTCATCTCAACTTTTCTGGGTAATTTATCAACTATTTTCAAGGTGTGTACTTGTAGGTATAAAAATGACAAGGAGCAGAACACATTTAAGCCTTTTAAGAAACTACGGCTTTGTCTATGCTACCACTTTTGTCGGTCAAACTTTTGTCGGTCAGGGGTGTGGAAAAAAACAAACAAACAACCAACCATCCCTGACCGACAAAAGTTTCACCGGCAAAAGTGCTGTGGACGCGCTATGTCGGTAGGAGAGGCTCTCCTGCCCACAAAGCTAATGCTGCTCATTGGGGGTGGCTTAATTATGCCAGCAGAAGAGCTCTCTCCCCTCGGCATAGAGTGGTTACCCACAGGAGACCTTACAGCGGCCAGGCTATAGCGGTACAGCTGTTCCACTGTAAGGTCTGTAGTGTAGACATAGCCCAAAAGATAAAGGTGAGTAGACAAGGATTTAACAGGATTTCTATATTAATCCAGAAACAATAAAGAAATAAAACCACCTTAATTAAAACATCAATTCCAAGTCTTGCACAGTGCAGTTTTAACTAATTAAATTTACTTTATTATAAGTAAAATGGAAACGGAATTTCATATACATACCACAGATTAGACACATTGCTGCTTACAGTACAATAAAACATTTCTGAACATAATTAACTGTTGTTACCTGTCATGATACTTATCCAGATTTTCCTCAGCTCTTAATTCTTACTAGTTAAGGGCCAAAATCCTCTCATTGCAAAAACAAAAAAACCCAAACAAACATTGGAACATCTACAGTTCTGCAACACTGGAAATAGGAGCAGGAGGAAAGGAAAGAAGGTCTGATGGGGTATACTCAATTGGCCCTACCCTGCTTCACCTGCAAGAGCTGTCAGGCATGGAGAGGGCAGTTAAAAGCAGAAAGCCATCTTACTTGGGGACCAACCAGGAAGGACAGTTTAATTTGTTACCAGGAACCTGTTGGTGGTGGTGAAGACAAGCTGCTACAGCTGGGATCTGCACGAAAGGAAGGGGGATGAAATTTGAGCCCAGAAGGCCAAAGATTCTTGTGGTTTGTGTTTACGTTGGACTTTGACTTGGGGACTTCGCTAACACAGAAGGGGTAGATCTTCCTCAGTGACTTGGCAAGAGGCCTAAACCACATCCATAACTAAAATATGCTGAAGATTCCATTGGGGAAATTGAGCCAGAGATGCCACATGAGAAGGGGGTGGACATGGACAGTTCCTCTGCCAGAGGAGGGCTGAAGACAATGAGTTGTGTGGATCTCCCACTTGTAAAACCTTTTAGGGTACTGGTCACAGCTCATGACATGGTTGTGCAGCTGCCCAACATTTTAACTCCAAGATGAGGGCGGAAGGGAAGGATTTTTTTTTACTTCTGCAAATCCCATATTGGCCTTCTGCACAAAGCCCTTTTACTTGGGACTGAAACTGAGGACCAGGATTTAATTAGAGCAAATAACAATGATACAAGCTAATACAGTGATATGTGGTTCTAAAAAACAATTAAAGAGTCAGGTGCAAAATGTCATTTTAGTATGAATTATTTCCTGTGGAAAGTAGCAAGAGTAGAAAATGGTTTAAGTGTGCATGATTATTACATTTACCACTGAAAGGCTCATTTCCCCCATTTTAAAACAAATGTAAACTGACTGTCTTCTAACAGTTTTTCTACAATATAAACATGATAAGTTAGATATTTTTCTTCCACTGATAAACTCGAGCTTTTCATTATTCAAAATAAACAGCATAGACATTTGCAAGACCAAACAGTGAGGTATTTTTGAAAGCATATGATGAAAACGTATCACTCGCAGGATCCCAAATGCATCTGCTTCCAATTCGCATGCTCTGTTCATTTAGTTGTCCAATATGTACAATCACAATAATTTTGTACCTTGGTATCATAAGGTCTTTTACCCGAGCCTTAATAACCTATAAGAGAGAAACATGTTCAGTAGGTTCACAGGTAAAAACCACTGCACTGATACAGTATAGTATAAAAATGTCTAGAAATACTGAACGTAACATGTTTACCAACAAGATTCTTGATCACCTAACCATAGACTTGCAACATCATCCTGTAAGTATTCCAGTACCACTAGAGGGTGGAATATGTGAGACTGAGGTTACAGTGCCAATGAATCAGTATTTTCAACACTGATGATAGTGATATCAGTTCTTGGAAATGCCATATCCCCAAAGGATTAACTTCAGGAGTTGCATTTAAAAAAGTGGTGGCAGCTTCTTGAATAGTTAGAGAGAGCAAAGCACAATTCAAATATGAAAACTGTCTATGAAAAAGATGGCACCTTCACTCTTAAGAGATCGTCTCCATGTGTGTATTCAGTTGTTGACTAGAATGTACAAAACCAAACAAAAATACCCAAACACACAAGTTTTTACTGCCTTTTACTCCTGTTAGCCTTACAGACCCATTTTTGCTGAAAGAATAAGTTGCATATGCTATTCTTTCTCAACAAACAAATCTGTTGATGATGCCCAAGTTTCACTCTATTACACCTAAGCAAACTCACTGAAGACTTGCACATGTTACCAAGCAGAATTTGCGACAGCACAAATGCATAAGTATCACTGAGGGGCTATTCTGGATGTTTCTGGAGGATTAAGTTCAGCGAACGGAGGCCACTTAACTTTTAAATGAGAGCATCCACACAGGGATTTAATAGATTTTAACTTCATACCTTTAGTTCACTCGTTTTAAATTTCCCTAAGCCCTATATTCTACTTACTAATATTGTGTCTTCCGACATGAAAAGCCAAGGAAAGGAGATTTTGAAGAAAAAAAATCTGAGGCATTGTCCTGCCAGGGGTACAGGGTTTGCCTATCTGGTGGATGCTGGGGATCCACAGAAGGAGAGTTAGCACTATGCTCGCACATTGCCTCTGGTACACCTAATGCCCACTCACATGGTTCCTTGGGAGGACAAGTTCAATGGAACCATTCCCCATTGGTCACAGTAGTCCCTGTGACCGTCCCCGGGGATATGCACAAAAGTTACTACAGCCTGGGACTGTTCCATTTTCTGGGTAAATTTTGAGGACCAGAGGAAGGATGATGTGCAGTCTCTGGCCCACCCACTTGTCACAAGCTTTACAAGTCATGTTCCCCTCCCCAATGCATACCCCAGACATAGAGAAAAGGGTCCACCAGAGAAAGTGGGGAGACTGTACATGAAAGACCCCTCAATACATGGATTTGAGAAGGGGGTGAATCTGACCCATAATTTACTCCAAAAGCCTAATTGTACTAATAATTTATTTTTTATACCTCAGAGATGGTCTTGGTCATTTGTCTGCATAGCTCTGCTTCATATTTTTCTTCTTGAAGATAATTAGTCAGCACATCCTTCAAAATATTATTTACTGTGACCACTGGAAAACGTTTTGCAGGACCTGGTATATGTAGATATTTTATAGTGCTTTAATTTATAAATCCATGTTGAGAATAACTGAACACATTGTAAACTGCCTTTTTAAACCGACTAATCAAAATGACCAATGAAAGGGGGTTAATTAGAACAGTGAACTAGTACACTAGTTATCTCTCTCGCTCTCTCTCTGAATTCAAATCCTGGAGCAGGTGAAAACTAAAAATATTTTTATGGATCTCTAATTATAAAGCTACCACACAATTTGGTATGGGTTTAAGTCTATTTAAAAGAGACCCAGAACTGAAACAGGAGGGATGCTAAGGATCAGGACTGAGATGCTTCGTTTAACCTTGCACAGCATCTCTGGTTCTAACCAGTGCTATTACAATATTTCATTTCAAGAACATTAATTCACCCACAAATTAAACAGATAAAGTGATTTTTATTACGGGAAAATAAAGCACCTTCAAATTCATATTTTTTCTCTTTAACTACAAGTTTGTAATAGATTTACCAGGAAATTAAGTATAAACAAGTTAAGGTTTGTAGCACTTTGGGAATTTTTAACGAGATTCCTTGTTTGTTCTCATTCCCCTCCAGAATTTTTACCAGAAAATTAAACTGACATGTAAAACAAGAATGACAATCATGTAAGGTATCAATGGATCTTTCTAATTGGAAAAAGAATGAGGAGTACAGGTACTTGTGGCACCTTAGAGACTAACAAATTTATTTGGGCATAAGCTTTTGTGGCCTAAAACCCACTTCATCAGATGCATGGAGTGGAAAATACAGTAGGAAGATTTTATATATACATATATATACACACACACACACACATACATACACATACACACACACACAATACATACACACAGAACATGAAAAGATGGGGGTTGCCTTACTAATTCTAACGAGACAAATCAATTAAAGTGGGCTATTATCAGCAGGAGGAAAAATCATCTTTGTAGGGGTAATTAGGGTGGCCCATTTCAAACAGCTGACAAGAAGGTATGAGTAACAGTAGGGGGGAAAATTAGCATGGGGAAATAGTTTTAAGTTTGTGTAATGACCCATCCATGCCCAGTCTTTATTCAGGCCTAATTTGATGGTGTCCAGTTCGCAAATTAATTCCAGTTCTGCAGTTTCTAGTTGGAGTCTGTTTTTGAAGTTTTTGTTGTTGAAGAATTGCCACTTTTAGGTCTATAATTGAGTGTCCAGGGAGGTTTAAGTGTTCTCCGGCTGGTTTTTGAATCTTATAATTCTTGACGTCTGATTTGTGTCCATTTATTCTTTTGCATAGAGACTGTCCGATTTGGCCAATGTACATGGCAGAGGGGCATTGCTGGCACATGATGGCATATATCACATTGGCAGATGTGCAGACTAACAGACTAACGCGGCTACCACTCTAATTGGAGAGTAAATATATGGCTAGCTGTGATCTGCTAACAACCACTTGAAACAAATGCTATGACTAGGGCCCTACCAAATTCACAGCCATGAAAAATACATCACGGACCATGCAATCTGGTCTCCCCCAGTAAAATTTGGTCTTCTGTGTGCTTTTACCCTATACTATACAAATTTCACAGGGGAGACCAGTGTTTCTCAAATTGGGGGTCCTGACCCAAAAGGGGGGCAAGGGGGAGTCAGACAGTTATTTTAGGAGGGTCATGGTATTGCCACCCTTACTTCTGCGCTGCCTTCAGAACTGGGCAGCCAGAGAGTGGCGGCTGCTGATTAAGGGTCCAGCTCTACAGGCAGCAGTGCAGAAGTAAGGATGGCAGCACCATACCGTGCCATCCTTACTTCTGCGCTGCTGCTGGTGATGGCTCTGCCTTCAGAACTGGGCTCCTGGCCAGCTGCCCAGCTCTGAAGGAAGTGCCGCCGCCAGCAGCAGCGCAGAAGTAAGGGTAGCAGTACCGCAACCCCCCCTACAATAATCCTTGTGACCCTCCCCCACAATTCCTTTTTGGGTTTATTTTGATCTACGGCTTTTTTTAACCTCTTCTCCATAGTATCTGAGAGTTTTTTGATCATTAACCAACTAAGGTGCACACAAAAAATACCTACAGGTTGTTATACCCCTTGCATGCTGAAATCTACTGAATGTGGATGTAATACCCTTCAAAGTACTGGAAGTACTATAGGCATCAGAATTCCAGCAGCTGGAGTATTTCCTTCCTCATTTGCCTCAAAATTCAAGCATACTCTATCATCTCCTTGGAAAAATGTGGTTGTGGATCAGGCAGTTATGTGGCAGAAACGTACACTTGTTTGATCCTATAAAGTGTTCTAAGTACATTCTTATTCACAAATCTCAGTAAAAAAAAGACTGCCTTACAGGAAGATAATTTGCAAGATCTACAAGTGGGCCATTTACAGCTAGTCAGAATTTTTCAGCAAATCATCTTCCCATTGAAAAATGTTGATAGTCCTCACTGAAACTGTTTGTGGGAAAACGTCAGTTTCAATAAGTTTCTTGACTCGAACAATAAGCAGAGTGGATAAAAATCAATGATTAAAAAAAAAAAAATCGGATCTTTTTTGATAAAATGCTTTTTGAGGAAAAAACCTGCCTAAAGATAGTTTTAATCAAGCAAGATACATTGTAGCTCAAAGATATCTCATCATGGAATAGGGATTATAAATTCTAATTCTATAGTATGAGACAATATATTCATGTAATGTTTAAGAAAAGTTTTGTAAATGAGTTCCAATAGTTCATGGTTTAGGGACCCAATCTTATGGGGTTCCAGGGGCTTCTGTATAGATTATTTCGGTTAATCTTTCTATCTACACAATGGGATTCAGTGTTCAGTCTAGAAGATACCATCAGAGATGCTTAGTTTTGCAGTTCTCAAACGGTGGATTTGTGTCTCCAGAGAGAACATGCTTATTAACAGCAAAAATGTTTTTAAATGAATATATAAATAATATATAGAGGTGAGAAATAACAGACCTCAACCCTATTGTTCCTCTGCAAATTTTTGTACACAGAGTCAATCCCTTACCTCTCTCTAAAAGTGAAAAGTTTCAAAAAGTTCAATGACTAGAAGATTGTTGGGGGCGGAACAGATCTGGACAAGGAGAAGTCTGGAGATAAATGTGAGAAGGGAGGGACAGGCAGTAGAAACAAAAGTGAAATTGTTTGAGCAGTATATTCCAGAAGTCTTGAGGTCTTTCTGAGTGTAGCCTTCGTTGATTTGAGATCTACCATACCATTCTCTCACTAGAAGGGAAAACCTATAATGGCAGCAGGCCATAAAAGAACACCCAGTTTGGGAATAAGAACCATTCAAGAAATATATGTTTGCTGATGATGTTTTAAAGAAAGTCATATCAGTGAACTGGCGGAAGTCACTTAAGCACTTGGATTCAGAGACTGTTGAAGTGATAATCTCATTTTTAACACCAGTAGCTTCTTCTGCCGGTGTAGAAAGAATATTTTCTTCCTTTGGACTAATTCATTCCAAATTGAGAAATCGTTTGGGACCTAGGAAAGCTTGTTTTTCTTTTCCAGATTATGAACAAACAGGAAAATGAAGCTGAAGACGACTGAGTTAGCTGCAGAAGCCAATATTTTAAGTTTCTCATGTTGGCCTGGCTGACAGTCGATTTTTTTTTGTTTAATATATTTCATTTAACTATTTTAGTTAAAAATTTTAACAAAAAGAAACCTGATTTTAAAAAACTTGAATGTTCAAGCATATGAATTTTTGAATTTAGTTATTTTGTTAAAATATTATATGTTTGCTGTTGAAGAAAAAAATCCAGAACGCATAACGTTGTTGTTTTAGTTAAATAAAACAATTTAAATGTCTGTCTGGTGATGTTCTCCTCCTAATACAACATGACAAGAAAATCCTCCAAATATTAATGATTGACTGGAATTGGAGATATTTATGAAGTCATTGGGAGGTGAACTATCTGCTTCAATTACCTTTGTAAATGAAATAACCAATCATTCATTTTCTGATATAACTGTAAAATTAATCTGAAAATGTATAGTGTGTACCTTCTAAAAATGAAACCTACATCTATCTCTGAGTTGTGAAGATATGTATTAAGGTTATAACAACCAACAAGAATGCATTTTATGTAGAAATCCATGATTAAATCAAGTCTTCCTGACTCGTGATTTAAATTCACCCTGACAATAAGTTTCAAAATCGATCAAACGTTCTATTTCAAACTATTAGAAATGAAAAATTGCCGTTTCTTGTTTTGAAACATTTCATTTAGAAATTTAAGTTAGTTACAGTAAAATAGCACCAGAGAAAGCATTCACCAAGAGGTTGCAGAAGAGAATGAAGAGGAAATGGCACCTGCAAAGGAATAGGCTGGATTTAGACCAGACCGAAGTGCAACAGATCAGTTATTTGTGATAAAACAAATATCAGAGAAATACACAGAACACAACCAAACCTGTTACTACAACTCTATAGACTTCAAAGAGGCTTTTCATTTAGCAGAAAGGGTTATGGCTAGTTATGACAACGTATAGCAGCCCCCCAAAATTGATCGAGCAGACAGAAAATATCTACAGCAAATCAATGAGTGCAGTGAGAGTAGACAAGAACCTGATGGAATGGTTCAGCACGACAACAGGAGTGCATGCTATCACCAGATTTGTTTTACTTGGTACTGCAAGCAATAATGGCTGTAGCACTGAGAGATGAAAAGGGAGGAGTCTTCGATTCAGAGATGACATGGACCTCCCAGAATTGACTAAGGAGGATTTACAGAGAATAACTGACAAGGTAGAATGGGAAAGAGTATCAAAGAATGGGAATTGTGAAGATGACATAAAAAACAAGAACTGGACTAGCTACACTACTGCATTTGAAAAACTGCAAGATCTGGAAGGCTAAAGACATTTTGATAAAAAAAAATCAACATATATGAGATAACTGTCATGCTGATACTTGCTATACAGATTGGAATGCTAGTATATGAGGAAATCTGAAGGACAAAAGATTTTACACTGCAGAAATGAACTGGCTGAGGGGAATATTGAGCTTCAAGACTGCAGAAAATGAAAAATGAAGAGAGAAGAAAACAGCTAGGGCCAGATATAATACACTTCCAGAAGACTCAAGAAAGACAACAGTGATGGTTTGCACACATATCAAGAATGGACTCAGAAAGGATACCATACATGGCAATAAATACCAGAATGCATGGAACTAGAAACAGGAAGACGGAGGATGCATTGGATAAATGCAGTGAAGAATGACAGAACAAAAATGTTTAAAGATGTACCAGCTTCACAGCTTTGTTCAAGACAGAAAGTGGAGGAAAGACTTCATCTGGCGCATCATTGCTGTTGAGCTGATGGATGGGAATTAAAAAAAAAAAAAGTAAAAGATTAAAAATGAAAAATGGTTGAAATTTAACTGAAACAATTTGAAATTATCAAAACAAAATTTTGAACCCAACCTGAAATCTTTTTTGGTTTGTCAGTTCTCGAAAGTTTTCAGGATTGCAACTTTTTGTCCCAATTTAAAATGGGATTTTTTTTTTTAAATCTCAAATATCTTACTGGGATGGGAAAACTGTTTCCCACCCAGCTCTAAGGACATGAAGTGGACAAGCTTTATCCATCTACCATGCTCCTACACCTTTTGCCAAAAAGGATAAACTCCTTCTCTTGCTATTATCTGGATTAGTAGTACCTTACACACGCCAAACTTTAGACACCTAAATTTTGTTTTCAGTCAAAATATACATCATGCGGTTTTCGATTCTAAACTAAGACAAATGTTGATCCCCAATATTCTCTTGTGCTGAGACTCTTATTACGATAAAGCTGTTTTATCGGGAGCCATCATGACCATAACAATTTGAGGCAGGGACAGTTTTTTTGTTATGAGTTTGTACAGTACCTACCACAGAGTGGGCTTGATCTGGAGCCCTTAGTATTACCTCAATATAAATAAATCAAACAGATAAATTACTATGCCTCCCAATCTACAAATTAAGAGAAGCACTCTTGATAAAAGAAATAGTTATCTTAAAGAGATACTATCAACTTCAAAATCCCACTTCTCCCTGAACATTTTCAACTTACTATTGTTACAGATGGCACCTAATATTATAATAACTGAAAGTTTAGAGAAAAACATTTTTCTCTGAATTTTAAATTGTTAATTTGATAACTTGATGCATTTAACTGCAATTTGGCGTCTAGTCTGTTTCAGTGTTTCCCTTGTAGGTTTTTTACACAGCAACAGGGAGAGGTGTGATGTGTTTTTGGTTTTGTTTTGTTTTTAAACAGGGAGAGGTGATTGTAAAACCACAAAAACTAGTAAAGAGGACTCAGGGGCAAATGTATTAATAGAAATGACAGTAGTTTGAATTCTTTTCAAAACTGACTACATTTTGACTGTTTCTCGATTTCGGCAATATCTGAGTTATACAGTTTACATTTTGGATTCATAGAGTTTAAGACCAGAAGGGATCATTAGAGCAATTAATTTAACAGATATATCACAGACCATTAAATTTCACCCAGTCACCTGTATTGAGCTTATTTTTTTAGTGTGAGATGGAGGAGGAAGTGTTCCATACCCAGCTGATAAGTGTTCTCCAACTGAATGGCAAGACGAGGAATTTCATGGCCAGGTTCATCCATATAAGATACTGTACTCATGGAGCTAAAAATAATTCAAAAAGTGACTGTATAAACTAGTGTATATTGAAAATTATGTTGATAAAAATAGATTCAAAATTTTAGATGGTACAGAAACACAGCTTTCTCTCTCAGAAAATGTTAAGATAATTTTTGGACTTGTTTATGTCAAAATGGGATCAGTTAAGAATGCCTTTTCTCAGGACATTAGGTGCTAAAGAAATATGCTGCCACTCAGTGGGACACATCATTACACCCAGTTAAACAATAAAGAGTAGTGGAAACAAAGGATCTGCTCTTTCTTGTAAAGCTAACTATTTTCAAAGGACATAATGCATTAATTTGCCAGACTGCATTCTAAACTGAGCTTATGTTTTGGAAATTAATGTGCATTTAAGAAAAAAAATTTAATTTTCTAGCTGCATGGGCTTGAGTAGAGTAAAGCAAAATCATCACTTTTAAACTTTAACTTGGTTTTACTAGAACAGAAATACAGCAATGAAGCCCAGAATTTAGAAGCAGCTATCTGGCCAACTACTTAATTTGAAGTAGGATGGTGGGATCGAGATAAATAAAAATCAATCTGATAGGAACTCGAATACCACAGAATTGGGTGCAATATAAGAAGCAGACAAAATTCACCTTAAAAATACAGCTTTACAAAATATAATTTTGGTAAATACTTTGTTATGCTTCTTTGTATCCAAACTACTGCCAAGCAAGTCTGTGGACTGAGGTGTCCCCTAAAGGAATACTCTAGAATATTTCACCAGGAGTCAGATTAAATCTACTTTCTGGTTCCAAATGGAACCCACTGGCGAATGTGTTATTGTTTCCCACTGTGCAAATCCACAGGGGATATGAGTTGTTATAGCCTCCACGCTTTAGCTCACGATGTAGCAGCTCATAATTTTCACTCTGGAGGTTCCTGGTTCAATCTCCAACATGGCAGCCATCAGCTATGCATTTATGAAAGTGACTGGAGAAACATTGCATTCTAAATCCATTCTAAATTCTCGGCTTCATTACTGTGTTTGCTGTAGTAAAACCAAATTAATGTTTAAAAAAGTGATTGGTTTGCTTTACTCAACCCATCACAGCTAGCAAATTCAAAATGTTTTTTTCTTAAATACACATTAGTTTTTAAAACAGAAGCTGTGCTCAGAATGCACATTGGAAGGAATAATTATAAGAGAGAAATCCCAGATATGAACTTTCCGCCTTCCCTTTAAAGATGGTGGAGGGAAAGGTTTTTGAGAGGGAGCTAGATCTTCAAAAAAATGTCTAAAAAAAAGGAATTTAAGCCTCTAAGAAGTTCCTCCCTCACCAAGACAAAAAACAAGGAAGCCACCCAGTTACAAGGAACATTTTTAAGTGGGTACTCTCCATGGGCTTGATCTCAGCATACGGGCCCTGATCCAAACATTTAAGCACTTAACTTTAAAATGTGAGTAATCCTACTGACTTCAGTGGGATTACTCATATCCTTAAAGTGTTTTGCTGGATTGCAGCCAGAGCATTAAGCAGCTTGAGACACGGGGCTAAGGATGAACCTTTACCATAGTTCTTCTTGAAGTAATCCCCAAAACAATTACATCAACTAACATTAAACTTGTTGCTTATGACTATAGGTTTGGACTAAAAGGGTCCCAAACATTTATGGGTTCCTCAGATTTAGTGACGTAATCATGATGAGAAAAAGCACTCTTACAGTGATGCTTGAATCACAGAACATTTTTCCTTTGTAATTACTATGCAAAGAAGCTTTCTCATAATGCTTCAGAAACAGGAGTTAGATTCAAAACATCCCCTCATCCATTACCTTTTTTTATTTCTCAATGCAACATTTTCCCGATATATTTACATTATTTTATAATCCATATTAGAAAAACTACTTACTCTTTGTTTTTTCCAATGATTTCTTTTGCTCTGACTTCATGACTGCTTAGAGAGGATACGCTGCCTCTTTTCTTTAACAGGCGTGCTGCCTTATCCTTAGCTATGTCCGACATGTCTATTAAATCTGAGAATGTACATAGTATGATAGAGACCCTGAAACATACAGGTGGCTGTAGTAACAGTATACATAAGTTAGCAAATCAAGTATATGGAGGTATGTGCTCTATCAAAAACTGATTGGTCCAAAGGAGATTTTACAACATTACAGTGAACTAAGAATCCTTGGCCTAAAGTTTGTTCCAGGTACCCAATCAGAAACAACTTAACTGGGAGTGAGGCATCATTGACTACAAAATGATATCTCTGTTTTGAGTTTGCAGTGAGGAGTTAGCACGGAAAGTAAAGTGATAGGATTTTAGCAACAGAATTAAGATGTTATAGCCCCACAACTAGGTTTCTCTTTGTGTAGCAATAGCCACGCTATAGATAAGGATCGCGAACAAACCCTTTAGCATCTCGCAGGACTAACTGGAGTAAAAAGTAATAACATTTTCGTCACTACAGTCAGCAGAGGTGAGTGACTGACACACAAAGGGGAGAACTACTGAGTAAGAAGAGGTCTCTTTTGACATATAGTCTTCGGAGCAGAGCCACCTCTGAAAACCTGTGGTCTGATCTGCTGTTGGGACACACACATTCTACTCAGTCCATGCTAATCCCCGCACTGCTGCAAAGCGCAGCCCAGGGCTACTACAGACAGAACGGGTGTGGCGAGCTCTCGGGGGTGAAATGGGCTACAGAAGCGTTAGCCAGGACTCTATATGGAAAACCACGGGTTCCTTGAGGATACAGAGCAAACAGATGGGAGCTTTAGGTCAGCCCAGCCCCATTACCCTGCTTCCCGCCCAGCAGCACCCCCCGCCCGCCATACCTCCAGCTCCCCCACGCCGATCCGCCCCCGACCAGCCCCGCAGGGCCCGCACTCCCCCGGACCCAGCCCCGCACTCACCCCCGCCCGCAGCCGAAGTGCCGCTTGCCAAAGAAACTGCGGCCGCTGCTGGTTTCCAGGGTTACGGCCAAACACGCCCCCCTCCAGGGCCTCCTCTGCCGGGGGCGGCTCCCACCCTGGGCCCGGCCCAGACGCGGCGGAGAGGGGCTTACCCCGGCCAGCGGGGCGGGGGCAGCGTGCAGGAGCCGGGTTCTATCCGGGCCGGCTCGGCTCGGCTCGCCCCCTTCTACCTCTGATTGGATGGCGGCAGGGGGCGGGGCTGCTGGCTTGACCTCCCCGTGGCGCTGCCCTCGCCTCCTCCCCTCTCGGGCGGGTCTGGCCGGGAACGTTCGGGGGTGCGGTGACCGTGAGCGCCGAGCCACGCGCGCCCCTTTGGAACGCGAGGACTAGCGCGGGCAAAGGGAGCCCGGCCCCGCGCCGTCTCCCCGCCCGAGTTTCTCTCCGCAGGCTGCGGTGCAGCGTAGCAGCCCACAGGGCTCCAGCCCGGGCTACGCTGGTCCAGGGGTTTGCTGGGACCGGCCGGCCCTGAGCACGGCGACACCCTCGGAGAGAGGGACTGGCGGCCGTGGAGCCCTAGCAGGGGCAGCTGTGCTCTGTGGCTGGCGGGCTCCCTCTCTGCCCAGCAGCAGGGTGAGGGGTTCAGGCTCCTCCCGGCTGCCTCAGCCCTGGTCTGCACTACGAGTTGAGGTCGAATTTAGCAGCGTTATGTCGATTTAACCCTGTACCCGTCCACACGACAAAGCCGTTTTTTCGACTTAAAGGGCTCTTAAAATCGATTTCTGTACTCCTCCCTGGCAAGGGGATTGGTGCTGAAATCGACCTTGCCGGGTCGAATTTGGGGTAGCGTGGTTGCAATTGGATGGTGTTGGCCTCTGGGAGCTAGCCCAGAGTGCTCCATTGTGACCTCTCTGGACAGCGATCTCAACTCAGATGCACTGGCCAGGTAAGACAGGGAAAGGCCTGTGAACTTTTGAATCTCAGTTCCTGTTTGGCCAGCGTGGCAATCTGCATGTCAGTGCAGATCTCATCAGCAGAGGTGACTATGATGGAGTCCCAGAATTGCAAAAGAGCTCCAGCATGGAACGAACGGGAGGTACAGGCTCTGATTGCTGTAGGGGGAGATGAATCCGTGCTATTAGAACTCTGTTCCAAAAGACGAAATGCCCAACATTTGAAGAAATCTCCCAACTTTTTTGGTGCAGAGCTAGGGGGAAAAACCCTATAAACTGTTCTACACTGAAAAAGTAGATTGACCTAGCTACGTTGCCAAGGGCCGTGAAAAATTCCACACCTTGAGCTTTGTAGTTAGTTTGACCTAAACTAGTATAGATGCAGCTAGCTCAATCTAATTTTTAAGTGTGAAATTTATAGCATGGACTGCCCCAAGATCAACTATTGAACAGTAACAAGGACCAGTTTAGAAGTATTTTAAAAGTCATTGCACTACAAAAGCCTTAGTACCCCTAGTTGCATTGTTCTCATTCAGCTGAGAATATCTCTTTGAAATTAATGGTCTACTTCATAACTCCCTGAGCTTCCTGTACTGAAAGTGAAGTGCAGAGCCTCTTCTCCACATACTAGGCCAGACTGTCCTGGGTCTAGCTGATACATGAACTCCTCACAGTATCACCAAATTCCCTCCTCCCCATGACCCCTCCAACTTTACCAGGCAGGTAAAGGTGACTGGTAGGGGGCGTGTATGGGCTCACAGCAGCAGTGGATGTGGAGGGGTCAAAAGCAATGGGCATGGCAGAGGAATTAGAGCAGTGAAGGAAGTATGGGGGGCATTGGAACAATAAAAGGGGTTTGGAAGGTTATAGGAGGGTACTGCTGCCCTTTTGTCAACTTTTGTCCCTCAGTGCTGTGTGCTGGCACAGATGCTGAGTTCTGAGAGGGCAGCACACCCCTAGATGATGACCCTCAGTAATATAAGGAATTTCAGAAACCCTGTTCGATGACTAGAACTTTAAAGAAGAGCTAGGTTTTCAAAAAATGTCATTTTTTCAGATCATCATCAAAGGTCCCTTTTACGCTGTGGGAACTCAAAAGCGGTGACAGCAGAGGGAAAGTTGAGCATCTTCCTCTGCAATGAGATACTGGTTGGGGGAGAGGAAGTGGAGCCATCTGTGCCCTCCTGCCCTTCCCCCCCTGTCTTTTCCTACAAATACCCCTCATCACTAACAGTTCTTCTCCATGACTGCTCCATTAAGCTGATGGAGGGGGCTCCAGGTCTCCCCTTTCCTCCACTGCTGCTGTTCCTATGATAAAGGGGAGGTCAGAGCAGTGCAGGAAAAATTTGGACAGGCACTGAGGAGACTACTCCAGCCAAGTGCATTCTCTGGCTGGAGTAATAGTTGCCAAGGAGCCTGAGGGAGTTTAGGGGCAGAGTTGGCCTGTAGAAGAGGAGAGTGCTGAGAAAATATTTAAAAAACAAAAACAAGGAAATTAATGGCCCAGAAACATCATTAACACAGAGTTAAGGTTGCCCAATGCTGCCTTGTACTCTTCCAGAATGTGGGGAATGGTTAAACTTAAGCTTCTGAAAATTGGGAAATAAGTTAAGGTAACAAACTTATATCGCTGAAAACCATGACATATAAAGTTAAGATACATA